ATCTGTTGAATACTTTATTTTCACCACGTTCTGGTTTCCGTCACTTTTCAGGTTTGTTTAAGGTCCCCAACGAAAATTTACCAGCTTAGTTTGCTTTTCCCTGCGGTCATTTTGGGTTGCTATCAGTTTAATCGCTGATCACGTACTTTTTTTATTCCCTTTGCCATCTCTGCAGAGAAAGTAGCGGCTTACGAGTTAAAACAGAAAGAAGCAGAAGAAAAGAAGGAGAGACTGTATGTTATTTCTTTCATGCAGTCCATACACCTAACATTAACGAGTACTCTAGGAGTAATTCTCAAAAATCGAAAGTCATCCAGAATTGCTTTGATTTTGCTTTACTTCGCTCTGTGATTGGTCCAGAAAACTCGCGCTAATCACCCAACCAATCAGATGCAAAACTAAAACCAATCGCACCTTCGTCACTAGCGTTTTCCCGCGCTTTACGCAGTGTACTCATTTGTACCCTACCTTCACAATGCCTCCATGTGATTTTTGTAATTACTTTTCGATTTACTACACTCAATTTAAAAGCGTTCTATTAGCAGCACTGTTACCTTCGAACAATGAAACCCATAAAGCTCTATACTTTGAAGAATGAGTGTCAAAATTTTTAATGATCTTTTCTAGGCCGTAACTGTAAATTAATTTCTCAGCAGCCGAAGGTCAAATATGCAGTATCCTCTCACTGACAGGAAGTTTTTGTCACTTTTCATTTGCAGAGATCCAAATGAAATTGTTCGACCTAGGATAGCAATGTCAGCGTGTATTGAAGCTTTTGCTGCTCCTGAGATTGTAGATGATTTTTACAGCACCGCAATTAAAGCAAAAAGCGTTGCGCAAAAGTAAGTTCTACTCCCGCAGTACGATATTTAACCCCAGTACACTTAGTGTGTGGTATGTGACAAATTTTCTGTGTGTATTTGTTTGTCAGAACAACTAGATTCGCCACGTTTCCTAATTACCTAATGGTGCAGATGAAGAAGTTTACTCTGGCTGATGACTGGACTCCAAAGAAATTAGGTATGGCCGGTTTTGTAATATTTATACACAAGATGAGAGAAGGTGTCTCGGTGCTATGCATGTAGATAAATCCGCTTCCTGCACTTAACCTGCACTGCGCTTGCTCGAAAAGTGACTGTGTTACTGTTTTCTAGCCTGTAAACAGACTACAGATGTGATGATATCAGTTCCCCTAAATTTACATATAACATAAATTTACTGCAAACGTAATTTTCTCAAATGGGAGGTCCTAGAAATGGGTTCCCTTCTTTAAATTAACCAACTATGTATGTACATGAAACCGAATGGACACGGGAAGTTTTGTTTACAAGAGGAGCGAAGATGGAATTTTCCTTGGCTTGTCGTTCGTCGAAAAAGTGGCTTGCTTGTAAGGTTACTATTTCAAATGTAATGTATTCTAAAGGAATAATTGTGTAAATTTTTTCCAGATGTTTCTGTAGATATTTTAGATGAACTAGACCTGACTCATCTAAGAGCTACTGGTCTTCAGTCGAACGAAGAAGAACTCCCAGAAGGCGAACAGGTTCCTGCAGGTACAACCTTCTGAATCTCTCATTAGTTGTAAGAGAAATATATTTTTGTTGACGAGCTGTCTTAGTGCAAGGAAAGTTGAGTTCCAGGGGTATCCAAGGCCTTCCATTGTGTCTAGCTAGCTTTGGGAAATAATCCGTGCACATGGCTGGCAAATCTTTGCAACCGAGCAATGAGCCCCCATTCCAACACGAATGCGATCATTGGCAGGAAAAATAAGGAAGGTAGATGAGGGAAGGGAAAACTGCTCGAGACTCACGATGAACAACTAATGAAAAGCTGCTTTAGAACTCAGAACAGCATTTTCGGTAAACTACTTTAACGGTTGATCATTAACTACCATTGCCGTGAGAACAGTGTTTTGATTGCCACGCATCCAGGCGAAATACTCACCCCACCTTCTGCACCGTACCAAACCAAGACCGAAATCTCATTTCGTGTTTATTTCTTTCCAGCTCCTCAGATCCAAATCGATGATAGTGTCGTTGCTCAGCTTGTTTCTATGGGCTTCGACAAAGAAGGTTGTCGGAAGGCTGTCTATCACACGAAGAACCAAGGTAAGAGAGCCATACACAGTGTTGTTAAAATCTTTAAACTGTGTAATAACATTGTGGAGAGGTGTTACACGTGTGGCATGCCAGGGGCGAAGACATGTATGAGTTTTTCTTTTAAATCCGACCCCAGTCAGTTTTGATTTCTCATCAGTATAATTTACCAATGGATAGTTTACTGGTGAGTTAAGGCTGTTAAACCAGCTAGGGTCATAAGTGACAGGGACAGCAGAATGCAAGGGTAGACAAAGTTGATTGTGAATTCTGTAGAGTGAGAAAGACGTTGAAGCAGAGTAGAAGAGATCAGTTCATATCGAATGTTTTTCATGCTACTTTCCCTGATTGATGTTCATTTGTTCATTGGTTTTTTTCTTTGATTAGGTGTAGAACCTGCCATGAACTGGGTTTTAGAACATATGGGTGACCCAGGTGAGACGAGTGTTAGTAATCATTTTTGTGTGCAGGTTTCCACGTTTCAGATGGAGCTGCTCTTAAAGTACTTTGGGTCTTTAAAATGTTATACTTCGTGTGTTGTCTTAATCATTTGCAATCCACGTTAACCTTTTCAATTCTTAACCATCCTGGTGTCATTTTTGGTCTCCCTATTTGGTTTTACTTTCTTATTAAAGTTTCTTTTATTTCCTCTTGGCTCAAGGTGATTTAATTTACAAGGTGCACGAAAATGGCTTAAGACATCAGTCGTGACGCGGCCCCTTTTTACAATAGAGCAATTCGGTCATGCATTCTTCTCCTTGTTGGAAATTACTCAAAACATAAGTGTGTAAATAACATTTTTAACGACTACGAATGTTTTGTTCGAAGACGTGTTTGCCACAAGGTTTCGGCCCTGTGCTCTGCTCGTTAACCTCTCAGTCATGATAAACAAGGAACGTCATCTCAGAATATCCATACATTCTGAGGCAAAGAGGTGATAAGAATGAAAAAACTTGTCAGCCAGAGAGAATTATCTTCATATCTTAACAAATTCTCGTAACTTCTTCAAAAGGAAATGAATGAAAACATGAAGGAAAAATTGATAAGTGATCCCCACACTCATTCTACACTCTTTGTTAAGAATGGGTAATGATGAAGTTTCAGTAAGACCTGTCAAAAATTTTGTTATTGGGGCTGCTTGCAATAAAAATTATGTACCAGCATGTAATTAAAGAGAGTGACAAGTATGTCTTGAAGCTTTTTTTTTGCCAGTCCCTATGTAACGATTTCAAATCTCTTAGAACCATTCTGTCTTTACCATTCAAGATTTCACCTCACCACTAGTGCTTCCTGGTAGTCAAGGATCAAAAGCTGCTGATGAAGAATCATTGGCGATTATTACTTCTATGGGTTTTACTGAGGCACAAGCTATCAAGGCTTTAAAAGCCACCGTGAGTATCTCCTCAATGTAAACAGCTTTAAGCCTTCCGTGATAATATTAGCAATTTAGACCACATTTTTTGTGTGTTCCAAGTCCAAAAACACCCGTTTTTCGAGGAAACCTAACTCACCGCTTCCGTTGCGCTTTGCTTTGTTTGTTGTTTGGTTTTTTGGTATTTTTTTTCTAGCGTAATTCGGATCACGTGATCTGACATGCCATGTTCAGATCGCTGGAAGGTTGTATCTCACCCCCACTCACTCTCTTGTTTGTTCGTTAGCTAGCCATTTTAAACGGATAATCGGCTGTTTGATCCATTTTTCATTCTATTGTGAATGCATTCGCGCTTGTCATGCTGATGGCCAATGTTCTCTTCTCAAAGTTTACCATTTTTACCGTCACCCTCATGTAGGACAACAACTTAGAGCGTGCAGCGGATTGGATATTTAGTCATGCGCATGAGCTCGACTCTATGGAAGAAGAAAGTTCTGCTAACCAGGAGACTGGACCCCAGTATAATGATGGACCAGGAAGTAAGTATCAGTATAAGACAGGTTTGTTTGTGTTGTGAACAGTGTTTGACTTTGGTTACTGCCTCTAGGGTTTCATTCACTGGCTTAACTGTTGAACTCTTGTCTCATGAGCTGTATCCAGTAGATAAGTTGCAATTTGGTAGATAAATATTGGGCAAGATTTCAGTAAGCGTGTAATTAAGATCATATCAATTTGTGCAGAAACAATGAGATCGAGTTACGCTGCAATTACGCCGTGAATTTAGATGGAATAAAATGAAAAAAAGATTATTCTTTTTCCAGTTGTTTTCGTGGATAAATACATTGCAATGGAGAACTTGTTCAATACATACCGAGCAAGTTGATTAAAATTTAAAAAATTTGGTTTTTTTGTGGTATGTTTCTCATGATTTCATTTCTCTTTCAGAATACCGCCTGATTGCCTTTATCAGTCACATGGGTACATCAACGATGTGTGGTCATTATGTTTGTCACGTGCTTAAGGACGGAAGGTATTGTATTTACAATTACATTTCCTCATCAAATTGCGCTTAAACCTTGAACTGCTATAATTTTGTTGTTTCTCAATAGGTGGGTGATTTTCAATGATCGTAAAGTAGCCCTCTCAGAGAAACCGCCAAAGGATCTTGGGTATTTGTATTTGTACCAACGAGTACAAAGTTAACTCAATCGTGCGCAGTTTTGTGTTTTTCTGCGCTTCTAAAGTTCTTCAGTGAAGTTTTGCGCCGAGTCAGAACAGAGACGGACGTAGGAAAATCATGCTTGCAGTGGATTTGAAAAGTGAAAGAACACTGGCACGTTGACAGACGCCTTAAAATGACGTGTTAGACAAATTTTAATTTGGAACTAAAAGAACCGTTACGCATTAGGTTGTTAATAAATTTGCTCATTGTGGATAATGGATCTGCTGAATTGCTGTAATGTCAGCCTGGAGGCCACTTTTATTCTTCTTTCCGACTGAACGATGTAATTTTGTAATTTCGTTTTTTTTTTAAGTGTCATGTAATAACAAGCGTAATAGTTGCCCAACGTGCACACGTGTGAAACACTTCATTCTAGTCGCGCGTTGCCCTAATGGGTCTCTCTCAGCGCGTAAAAAGGTTTTCTGTAGAATTCGAAGTTGTTGAGGCAACTCCAAAAACCTCCTGGTAGGTCAAAGAGAAATCCTTGAGGCTTTATTTAATCTCATTTATTGGTAGAGTTCCTTATCGGTAAAATCTAAACTCTATCTGTAAGACCAACTTCTGTAAGCAAATCAACTGTTTTCTTGTGTATAGAAACAGTATCAAGGCTCATACTGTGTTATGGTGCTGTGAGATCTTTAAGAGTGATGCTTCGTCAGTTGTTCTGTTGACATGGAAGCCAAAGAAAATCTGTTAAAATCCGCAGATGTATCGCCATCTCTGACTGTACTCTGGTCTTGAATGCCATTTGACTGGGGCTCAGCGGCGCATTTTAACCCTTTGCCACGGTAAAACCTTTCCTTGAGTAGTCCACGTACTCTTTTCGAAGTAGTGAAGCACAACGCGATGAAAAACCCTGAAACAAATCTCACAGAAAATTAGTTACCAGAAATTTAACTATCATTAACTGCTTGTGCCATACCGAAGTGAAAATAACTTTAACACTGTTATGTAGGTGGGGCACTTAAATTTTTTGGGTGGCTTTTTTTGATCAAGCGGGGCCTCCAGGCAATGTTGCGGCTCTTCACCGATTTAATACAGTTTACTGTTAGATCCTAAAATTATTCCCTGATTGTAGTTTGCACGACCGACGGATGCTGTTAATTTAAATCATTGCTTAAGTTATTGCTTACATAGGAGGCTGTAGCCCCTCTCCCTTTCGCAACGAAAACGATGGCTTGCTTATAATAAAATTAGTTGGCGAAATGTTCCCACCAATAATTTCACCAGGATCGCGGTGGGCGAAAAATTTTGTACGAGGAGTATTTTCGTTTGACAACTACCCCTTCATGCATAACAAAATTTGATAACGGAATCTCTAGATTTTGTCCTGATTACAATAATGTGTGCTACTGCCAGAAAAATCTGCAAAAGCCATTTAATTTTTTGGGAAATTTTAATAGGGGAGTATGGACAGGCACACACGCACCGAGGCACACACGCACCGACGCACACAAGTTTGCCTTGGTACTTCACAAATCAAACTTGAAAAAGTACCTTGCATGCAGTTCAGCACAGTGGAAGGGTAATGAAGAAATTCAGTTTGTTTCCAGTTAGCTGCAAGCCCTAGGATCCAGGTCAGTCCCATCACTGTGGTCAACTTTATGCAGATGAGGGTCAGAGAAGCTTTAGAATTGTTTGCTGCTAGACTGGCACCCTAAGGTTAAAAAACGTAAACGAACAAAAGCTTCTCTGATCTATTCAACCAGTCAATGAAAAGTAAGTAAAAGATATCCCAAGCGGACTTGTTGTAAACTCTAATGGGTTTCTTCAATGAAGATTTGAGCATGATGCCTCTTTCTTAATGCTACTGAATTCTTGATGCTACTGACTGATGCCAGAACGTCTCCCACACTCCATAAGCCTAAGGTCAAACCTTAAGTACTCGTCCTTACGCATACCTTTTGTAACTGATGGATGCCATAGAGATTTTTCGCCAGACACGTTATATTGAAAACCAAAGCAAGGCTCACTGGGGTAACCATAGCAACAATCATGGCTGTGTTTCCAAATATCCAGCAATAATTCGATTTACCTATCGATTAAATACAGGGAGAAATCGAAATCGTTTCTTAGGAGTTGTTCTTAGAGAGGTAGTTTGCTCCATAAAGATAGCAATTGTGCTGATCACAATATTTAACCCATTAACCTCTATGAGTGACTAACATCTAATTTCTCCTTACAATATCATTCCCGAATCACACATTTAGGTTACGAGAATAAAGGAAATGATCACCAACCAAAGAAGCCCTTGATTGCTAAACAAATTCTCCTCGTAAGCTTCTTAGGAAATGTAGAGAGCATAGTATAGAGAGTTTGCATGCTGATGTTAGAGTGTAAAGGGTTAAGGAGCGATATGACAATGATAAGCTGGTGTAAACGCTGCTAAAGGAGGTCAGTTGAAGCTCCTATTGATGAACAACAGTACCTGTAACAATTTTAACTTCAAGACTTTTTTGTACAAACCATATCCGACATGAAATGATCCTGTGAAGTCAAGTACAGTAAATAAACCAACAACAATTACAGGAAGTCCCCATCCCAGAATGCAATACTTGATGAAGGTTTTCCTCTGGTTCGAGCTTTGTCTCCTTGCGTTGCCTGCTGCAGAAATTAAGAACAAGTGAATGGCGTTTATTTTCAAGATATGTGCAAATTGATTAGACAAACAGGTATGTGAAATTTTTTAACATAACGGTTGCTTAGTTTTGAACTTGTTGGCTAAGTGGTTGGCGTCTCATACCACAGATCAACAGGTCTAATTCATGGTACCACCCTCCACCCAATTTTAGCAAGAGTTTAAAGGGGACAAGCAATCTGTGAGAAACTTAACGAACTGCTGAGAGGTGGCCAGCATCAAAAGACTGCTAAGCTCTTTAAAACATTGTTAATGTTCGTGCGTCAGTTGATTAACGTTTTAGGAACTTAACTACTCACCCTTAACGGTAAAAGCATTTGCTGTATTAAACGCCATAATGCTCATCCACGAGAATGCAGCGAGGATAAAGAAATGTAGAGAAATGGCAACTGCCTTACATAGAGCGTCCACTTCATTCGCCTTTTCAACAGTGAAAAAAATTATTTGGTAACAGAGTAACGCCCCACAAATGTTGATGAGACATTTTCCAGGCAGATTTCTTAGCTCTTTGAAAAACAAATAAATGAAAAGAAGAAAGCACAGTGAAATTATTGATAGAGTTGTACCAATGACTGTGATATAAATGAGAACTGTGAAATCCTGATTGGAATCGTTAGTAGCTTTATCATCTGGACACAATACATATACAGTGCTCCCATTCAAGTCCATGGCAATCTTTTTATCGAGGAATTGTTCACTCTGTATCATTACATGGTGTTTGTCTAGGGATGCATTAATTTTTGCTGATTGATTTTTTACGGGAATGAATGCTTTGCAAGTTTTCCCATTAATAGTGATGGTGCAGTGGCTACCGTTTGAAGTACAGTGTAACATCTGGGCAGTAACGTTAAACTTTTCGTTGGTTGCTCCAGTTGGCTGTGGTGTCTTTGGTGTTTCAGGATTCCTAAAGTTTCCGCTGACATCCAAGATGATTGACCAAGGTATACCTGGGCCTTGACCGGTCGCTGGCTCGGAATGTCCTTCAGGATCACAGAGAGCGCAATGAGGGTTCTTGTATGATACTTTAGCCTTTTGATAGTCAACTGAAAAAGGCATGGAATATGAAGAACAAAGGTCTTTAACTAAAGACATCCAGGGTTGTTTATTCACCGCGCATATTGTATCATGCAATACACAATGTCGCGTTTGGTTAGACGATGTCTCGTATTTCCATGAACACTTGTTTATTTTGTCCATGACAAACGTCCTAACTGCCTTGATGTCCGACCCATTGAACTCTAATCTTCCACTCCCGCATTTTACTTGGAGTTCCCAGAAAGTCATTTTTTCTTCATTGTTACATCTGGCACAGGCAATGTTTCTGTATGTAACATTGTGCTTCCATCCAAACACAGGTAGTTCGCTCATTAATGTCATATTTAACTTCTTAACAGCTTTGCAATCTTCACCAACTGGATTGCCTGATAGGCTGCAGGATGATTTCATGATTATCCCAGACCATGGAGGTTCATTGAAACTCTGCCCCCCATGGCTAATGACGTCTCCACAGGTCACGTTCTGGTTTTGTATAACCTCAATAATACTTGCACTTTGATGACATCTTAAAAAAAGAGTTGTTTGGATTCTTTGTATGAGCGAGCATGTCAAGGAGAGGAAATATCTTAACGTGAAGAAAATGTCCAATACTTTAAAGAATGTTTTGCGCCGAGTTCGTAAAGGTAGATAGATAGGAAGAAATCAAAACATAATTGTATTAAGGTGTTGATGATAACTTAGATCAGAAAAAATGACATCACAAAATTTATTAGCGACGAATTTGAAAATCTGAGGCTAATTTTTCGAGCTGCGTCACAAAAAATAAACTAAAACAAACTGAAAAAATCGAGGAGCTTATACTTAGCGTTAACTGAACTCCAACACTGATAAAGAGTAATCAAACTATGCGAGGGCCTTCAAACTAAGAGAGAACATCGCGCTCAACAAGTATTAGGAGCCGTAGCCAATTTACCTTCGCAACTCATTTGAACTGAGTTGCGAAGGTAAATTGGCTACGGTAAAGAGTTGTTTTAATGCTGACGTTTCGAGCGTAAGCCCTTCGTCAATCGCTCCTACGAAGCGCTGTCGCTCAAAACGTCAGCTTTGAAACAACCCTTTAGGGTGGCCAATTTATGTTAGCAACTCAGTCGATAATACTTAGTCACCCGAATATACTCTTCCACCGATAGGATTAGGATACGCAGTTAAAAAACGAAAAGCGATGAATTTCCATTTGTTGTTTCGATAATGACTTCAAAAAAATTCCTTATCATCCAAAAAATCACCGTAGCAACACTGCACAAGAACACCCTTATTTCAGCTTTGTTTATCGTTGACTCTGACCACGGGTGACCCCGTTGTTGTAAAATTGCAAGTAACGTAACAAAATTATATTTTAAAGTATTTGAGCTACCCTAATCTTTTGTGAACTTCAGTTGAGAAATAAATGCTTAGCAGCATCTCGTTTGCTGAATTTATCTTCAGTTTCAGCAAATTATTGCAGGAACTGCTAAATGCACTGCCACAGCTTGGATGCTTCTTTAATCAATCGACCAATTAATCGATGATCGAAGTACAATATATTGCTGTCAATGTAGCAACGAACAACGACTAGAGATGTTACGTATAGAGGAAAAACAATTGTAGTTACCGCGAGTAGAAGTCCACGCAGCAGTCACCGAGTGTTTTGCAAACCTCATCACAGAAACACTTATTTGCCTCTCCTCTTTCATCTCGGTAGCATCTGCCTGCGCATGATTGTTCAGAATTGTTTTTCTGCTTAAACACTTCAGCAAAGTATCTCTCCTCTTGTGGTAGGGTAACATTATGGAGACGTAAGAGCTTTGTCAGGTTTTTCAAGCTGACAGTTTCACCTTTAAAATTCACCACGAAGTCTTGATGATCCGACTCTAAATTAGGAGAAAATTTAAAAAATCGTAAACAAAATGTGCATCAAAATTCTAAATGGCAAAAATGTTGCAACAAAATTAAGGTGTAAAGTAACTTATACTGTGATTCTTACATGATATGGAATTGAGAGGTGGCCAGCATCAGCAGACCGCTAAGCTCTTTAAAACATTATGTTAATGTCCGTGCGTCAGTTGAGTAACGCTTCAGGAACTTAGCTACTCACCCTTAACGGTACAAGCATTTGCTGTATTAAGGGTTTTCCAATTTAGCAGAAGTTCCGCAGAAGTGGAACTTACTAATAAGTAAAAGTTCAGTTGAAGCAAAAATGACTGAGTTAACTGGCGAAACATCCACGAACAAAAACATTATCACTTCTTTCATTATCACGAACTTTCGCAAAATCGGAAAACCCGAGTAAATTGAACCTAACAGGGTTATCTATTATTTAAGAATTTGCAGAAAGCGAAGCCTTGAAATCAAAATCTAGGGCTTCCACAGTGCTTCAGTCCACGCCCTCAAGATATCTGATACGTACCACTTAACTCCTGAAAATCTTGAGCAGAGTCGATGCCAAAAGATTTAACAAGAGGAAAGTTGATCGCCCAAAAAGTCGTAATACACACTGACACGAGAGTTAAATTGCCACGCTTCATAGTTATTCCGGAAAAATTCCAAGCTGAAAGAAAAAACAAATTTGAGCGAATGCAGAACCTGTTTTAGACTGTACAAGACTCGAAGAGAGAACGGCTTAATCATTTAAACCTCTTAGGTGTCACATCTTCATTGCAGCGTCTCTGAGTTATTATGACGATTTTTGTGCCAACAGCCGCATTTTGCATGTGAGCTTTTAGCTAATTAAACCAAGATTAATTTCACAGGCGGGTGGCGTTGATGTGTTCTGTTGTTTACGTTCCTAGTAATTAAAACAATTTTCAGTTGAACGTTATTTGAATTTGCAAATGACAACTCGATGAAAATTTCAAAAAAGCTTATCACAATAGTTGTGGTTTCGTAGTATTGTCAACTTTTATCATTCACTGGTGGGCTACGAATGAAAAAGTGGAAAAATGTTTAGTAAACTATCATTTGAATTTGCTCAGGGGTACTAAAACAGCTGCGGGTCAAAAATAATTTGAAAAAAATCAAATTCCCAATGTTGACAAAGAGCAACTAAAATTGTGTGCAAATAGAAAAGAAAGTTAAATCTCTGCTGCAAGACCAATCATGATTACAAAAGTGAACTATGCAGTAGATTTATTTCCTACCATAATGGGTTCTTCAGATGTTTTGTTGATCGAAATAACCAATTTTAGTTTGTTGCCATGCAAACATCGGTAAATGTCTTAAAAGCATGTTCCTGTTTTTTCGTCTCTCAGTTTGCTAACAGCCTACACCCTGAGTCAATCTTTGCTGTGACCCTTTTTTTTAAAGAGTACGAATTTAATCGCTTGATTAAAATAAGTATTGTTCTGCTTAACCAAGAGCAAAGGGTTACTTTTGTTGAAAAATTCTTCGTAATAATAAGTGTGGAAACTACAAGAATTATTTCTGGCATAGAAAAAGGATTTTGTAATTAAAATATTATGTTTGAAAGAAGGGTGACATTACTAGCTCGAAATGAAAACATCATAAAATCATGTTAATGGCCAGCATTTGAATAATTTCATCCCTGGCTGGTGAATATTTTCTAGATTACGACTAACGGAAATTATCTAATCATACAGGTAGAAAAATGAACCAAAGTCTGTTGTGATCATAAAACTGGTTATCACATGCTCTTTTCAAATGTACTAGGCGGAATTTTTTGCTCGAGAAAATAAATTTTCCTTTATTATTTTGCACATCTTTTGTTCCCTTATGTTATCTTTTGTGAATCTCTCGCGCGCTTCAAAAAACACTGCTGCATTTCGAGTCGTCGTAATACAAATATCTCCGTTATCCCGCGGTGCATCAAAGGGCCCCTCGCAAATTGCACGTTCACCATACATTGATTCTCCTAATATCTCTCACGCATGCGCTACGCCTCTAATAAAGAAATAAAAACTACTCCAAAATTAAGGTTTGAAAATTAAAAGCCCAAAACGATTCTTTAACTAAACTGCTCAGGAAATTTGAACTTGCACGTGCGTTGTAATTCAGACAGCTTTTGTTTCGCAGAGGATATTGAATTTTGAAGTTAAAAGAAATACCGACACGGCATCTGTGTGATGGGGGCTATATGATGCAAATACTGTCATTCGAATACCTATTTATATGAACAATTTAGGACTTTTGTTCTCTCTTTCATTCGGGCTGCATCCTCGTGAGTCTCATTCCCATTCAATCGAGCTTCTATCTTATTTCTTCTTCTTTTCATTTTCTTTTCATTCTTTTCTTTACATTACCAAGAAACTCCCATTTGACCCTTTACACCCTAAAATTAGACTCAGTGTACATATTCTCCATACTGCTCTCTATAAATTTCCTAAGGTGCTGACAAGGAGAATTTGTTAAACAATCAAGAGCTTCGTTAGTTGTTATACATAATGAACGGAAATGTTCATTATGTGAATGAGGAATACAACAGTGCCGATCTTTCTAGATCTACAAATTTTCCTTATCTGCAGAATAATTATTTGACTTAATCATCTTTCAATAAGATATCAACAGTTGTTCACTTAGAAAAAAGCCAAAAAAAGCTCAAGATCCAGATTAAATAATCAAACATGTTATTTCTTGAACTATTTTGTTACAAACCGTATCCGATATTGAAATTTCTACTAAGGTCCAGCACTGAGCATAAACCAACGATTACTGCAGGCAGTCCCATCCCACAATGCAACACGTGACGAAGCCTTTACTGGTGTCTGGTGGCTGTCTTCTTGTGACAGGCACTAATTGAAGGGGATTAAAGAATACCGGTGAAACATTTTCTTAAAGGGATTAGCCTAAAAATGATCACATTTGAAAAAACTCCCCGCACTATCAAATCATCCATAATCTTTTAAAACTAAATGTGCAAAAGACTTCCTACACAATTGTACAAGTCTAGCCAGTGAGTACTTGTTGAACAGCTCACATAACACCCACTCACGCGGGTAAATTTTTCCAACTTCTGCAGAAATAGTGATTTTTTTTCTGCATTCTTTTGGTTACTTTAAAATAAATGACGGGATGTTTCTATATACTTATAACACATTGTGAAGGAGAGATACTCTAAAGAAGTGGAGCCTTTTTTCCGATCCTAGAAATGTAGTGAAACCCAAACAGGCAACCACAGGACTCTTCCTTGTAAATGTTCGATGGAGGAGTTTTAAAATCTATATCGTCATGAAGGAAATAAGTAATTGAAGAGTAGAACGGATTATACTTTATTGGAATTGCAACATTGTATCTTTAACAATACGAGGATTTGTAACTGCGTCTCAAATTTTTCTTATAAGATTTGAGCAAACACTCAGTTTCTCTTTTCTTGCTTAACGAAAAGTTTGAAATACCACAATTCAACTTTTATTCAAAGATCTGAAGTTCTTTGCAGCTGTGCTACATAACAAGGAGGGTTATGAATTGGCTTAAGTAAAAGGATCATTGATGAAGTGAGGCAAATTGTAAGTGTAAACGCTTTAAGAGGTGTTTTGGCAAAATTTCGGTTTATTGAAAGCTAAGGCCACTTTCTTCCGACTGAGACCTGTTTTAAAATGCTTTTGTTGATTAGCAATTTCTCCTAACAGGTGTTCTTGTGACAGGGGAAATGAACAGACCCAGACAGTTCCTGTAAGGGGTCTGAAGGAATAAATACACACAAAACAACCAGAAAAATTATATTGCCTTGCGCAAATAATCAAATGGACACTTTCCTTTGCTTCCCACAAAAATTGATAAAAGGCGTTCAGGACTAAAAGGTTTACATAAAAATCCACTCAGCTGCTGCATGGAAATAATACGCGTAAATTCCTATAATGGAAAAAACGAGAATACGATTGGGTGACACAAAAATGTTGACTAATAAGGAAGAGGTTTTTATTTCGATAGTTTTATTGCCAGGTCATTCATTTCCGTTCCTTTACTTAATGATTCCCAATCGCAAGAATAATTACGGCATACAAACTTTTATTCAAGTTATACAGCACTTTATGAGTGTATGTACAATTTAAGTTAAGAATTACTTCATTGCGTCATACTATATCGAGATAACATGCATTTGAAATAACGTAAAACAAGATGACTTTCCGACCTTTCGTTTCTTTTTGTGAGCTATTCTATTTTAAACTCCTCATCTACCCAGCTAGGGGTATATCCTCCCAGTGTTCAGCTTCTTTTCTTAAAAAGCTGTTGATTTATATTACTCGGATGCCAAACGTGAAAGTCACTGCCACCCTTCCTTCCATGAATTTATCAATTTAATAAAGTTGCAAGACAAAAGTACAGCTTTACTTTTCTAAACCTAAGGTATAGTACAGCTACTGCCATTGGGTCCCACGTTCGAATTCCACTATTTATTATTGTTATTGTTATCAGTACTTTTATCAAGTAAATTATCATTAATAACTATTTTACATAAGCTATATTGTAACTCTCACCACTTTGGATGATACCAATTCAACCCAAAACACAAGAAGAACAGCAGAAAATATGTACAAAACAAACAAGCAGAAGAGAGAAGCGAGAGCTTCAAGGAAAAATACGATTCCTCTTCAAGTTCGAGGAACCTGTATCTCTTTCAGCCCTAGTCTGAATTCTAGCATATTGAACACGAGTGGGGTGGTTACAATTCCCTCGTTTAAAAAAATCTTTCCTCAGAGAGATCTCGGACTCTTTTGGTGGTAACGAAAGGCAACGTGATGAAAACCCCTGAAATCATAACATTTTTGAATTAGCCTCATCGGTTTGAAAGTAACGTAGGCCCAGCTAAATCCTCTCATCCAGAACTATTCTATAAACGCACTCACTGGACAATGCCTTTCGGTATAACCACCGAAGATTACACTAAACAACATCTTACGACTACATGAAAGATTTAATCCAATGCAAACGTACGCCAGTAACCCAAATAGATTCGAAGGTATATGTAGTTCAGGGGTACACCCTTAAGAGTGGAAAAGTTCCCGATTGAAATTAACCCTTAAGTTGAACCAATATATGTACAAAGGACATAGGAGCATTTTTTATATTTATACACATGTATACATGTATAGAAAACGAAGTTGGATTCAAATGAAAGAAGTACTTCCTTTAAAAATAAGTCTCCAAAGAACAGTTCCTCTGTGTTTGTTCCCTTTATCAATTGTCAGGTTTTGGTTTGTTTCTTTTTTTTTGTTTTGTTTCTTTGTTTCTATCAAACGATACCTTGCAAGCAGTTCAACACAGTGGCAGGGTAATGTAGGAGCCCAGTTTGCTTCCTGTTAGCGGCAAGCGCCAGAATCCTAGTCAAACCCATGATTGTGGTTGGTTTGATGCAGATGAGAGTCAGAGAACCTCGAGAACTATTTGGTGCTGCCAAGTTAGAGACCTAGGAAGAAAAACAACACCATTACTCTCTGATATCTCACCCAGCACTCGATAAATATGAATTGAAACCTCTGAAAATTCAAATGGAGTTGCTCTGCCATTATCCCACATACCTGCTGTAAACGGCGAAATGCGACAAAACACTTCGTCAGGCACGTGATATTGAAAACCAAAGCGACGGTCACAAGAGTTACCATGACAATAATCGTTGCTGTTTTATCAGATATTCAGCAGTAGACCAAATTCCCTGAAACAAGAAATATATGAAAAGGGGCAACTAAGCTATTTTGCAAAATATATTTA